TGGCCGGAACAGTGCTGGTGACAAGGCTTATATCTGAAGTTTTGGCCGTCGGGTCCTTCGAAATAAACAGAGTAGATGCACTAAGCTGCTGAGCTTCCTGTTGAGAGCTGAGCTTAAGCAATTCTGTGAGAGGTAAGTCACTTTGTGAGATAGAGCTTTGGCTATTAGGGATGAATTTGGTCGATTGCATAGTCAAGGGTACACTGAAGCAGATCAGAGAAAAAAAGTGTTACTATAATTGAAAAAAATGCATGATAGATTCTTAACGAATTTAAAATTATTATTGAAATAAAACGATAATAGAAAAAGAGCTGGTTTATCAGCGTCTACCTGCTGTCAATGAATGTATATAGGTGATTAGCTAGAGTAAGAATTAATAACAAGAAAAAAAATTCTAGGATATGAAGACCAAGGTGGTGTGCCCTTTAGTATTGTCGAAGTCTTCTTTCGATATTTAGAAGTGGGTTGACCTCGTTTCCACAACTTGGTCGTGCTGTCAAAGTGACTTAGTTGAATTCCCCCTGACTCAAGTCCTCTGCTATTATAATAACGACTATAGAAGAAGATTTTGGACAAGGAGCGGCCAGCTAAGTCGCCTTGATAACACGACTAAGTTGCAATAACAGTCAATCCACTTCAAAGAAAAAAAATTTTGAATGGAAACAAATCAGTATGGAGACCTGATGTTTGTATAATAAAGCTTTTTCAGTTCAGGTGAATAATCGGTTTTATCAATGCTAATAAGGGAAGAAGATAAATAGGTAATAAGACGAAGTTTAGGTTTATGCATTAGGAACCAACCTGCTGTAGGTCCGTTCGGGCGTCTTAATATCGGAGCTTTGCCACAAAATGACGTCCCCTGGTAGTAGTTTACCATTGCTATCGTGCTCTAAAATAAGTGGAGCAGGAAAAGTGGATGAGGGAGGAAGAGAGGGGTGGTGTGAACCAGAATACAAAGGGGATTCCGTCAGAATGGATGGCGATTGGTGCCTCGACGCTCCTGCACTACTGGCTACGGGGCGACAGGAAGTCGAATGAGTCTTGAGACAATGGAAAGAAGTAAATGAATAATAATGCACATATAGAAAGTACCAATTCATAAGAATATACTTAGCACCATCAAACTAAATGATTAAAAAATGTATCTAATATATATTTTGGATGGTTTACGTCGCTAGAGATAGCCTCTCGATAATCATTAATTTCATAACGCCTACATTGACTCTATATGCATGATTGGATAAGAAATTAATAAGGAAACTTGTGCGCGTGGATTTCCTATACACGAGTCTACTCAACTTGGTACGTTCTTTGTTCACTATCGCATCTAGAAATGGCAATTTATTCCCTTTTCTAACTCTATACTAAACTAATTATTGACATCCATTGTATTTATTAGCTCAAGGAGTTCACCCAAACTATATTTGCTCTATTTACAAACAGCAAAGTAATCGTCTAAATATATAAGTAATAACTTTGAAAGTATGAGTGCTTCTTGATGAACAAGAAATTATAATTGGGCCATCTAGTTATTAGCTAAAAAAGGAGCTAAACACTAAACCATGGCCAAGTCCCGTGTTTGCTAATACAACTTAACATTAAATGCAAAATATGTATTGTTAATGGCCAATTTGACTAATCTAATATATGAGTTGGGTTTATCCTATTTCACCTAAGGTATTGAAAGACTGGTAATTGAATGATAAGACTAGAGCTGACGTCTCCATTGAATTCCATATAACCTTGCTTTCCAAAAGGTGTTTTCATCCAGAGTTGACTGCAGTTTTGACCTTGCATAGGTTTCATCAACATCCCAGTGGGAGTCGAACAATGACAGTGCAGCGTGTAATATCGACCCGTTCACCCCTACGCCACATAGCTGCGAGTGTACTTGGGTCGCAGGGCAGACTGGAATTCCAAGGAAGGTCAGGCATTTTCCATATCACATTCTGTGTTTGGATTGTCGATGAGGCAAACTTATATTTGCTATAGAAATAGGTGGAATTACTTTTTTCTCGAAAACCTACTTATTGTCGAAAAAGTAATGTCGTCGATTGGTATAGCAAATATAAGTTTTCTTAATCCACAATCCCAACACAGAATGTGATATGGAAAATACCTGAACTTCCTTGTAATTCACATTTGCTCTGTGACCCAAGGGTACTCGTAGCAATGTGGAGTAGCGGTTAACGTGTCAAGATAACACGCTGCATTTTCATAGTTCGACTTTCTCTGGGGATGTTTATAACACCAAGGCGAAGTCGAAACTGCCGTCAACCCCGGGTGAGAATGCCTTTTTGCAATGCAAGGCCATATGTGAAATTCAATGGAAACGTCAGCTCTACTAATATCATTGTGAGAAAATTCAACTACCAATCCTTCGTCACCTTAAACGAAACAGGGAAAACACAACTCATATACCTGATTAACTGGTAGTCTCGAAAACCTCCTCAAGGATTACTCTAATGACTGAATCAGTTATATTCACAAGATGTTAATCTAAGGAAAACTCAAAGGCCTTCAATGCCTCGTTTATTGGAATATTAATATATAGGCATCACTTCCAAACTTACCAGCAAATACCCTCTTTCTATCGTTTGATCAACTAATTTTATGAAGTCGTAGGAGTCGCCTTGAGGTTCGTTATACTA